TAAGTTTCAGTCTTTGCTCAGTTTTCCTGCCGCGCCGGCTGGGGAGCACAGTGGATTCTCATATCCGCTGCTCTTACAAATAACATGGTTTTTAGTTCATATCTCGCCGAAAAATTGCGCTGGAAGTCTGAAACTTCGCAAAGGCATTTTTGAGGGCTCCAGAATTCGAAAAAATCGTTTTCCCTGAAAATGTCGGATATCAGCTACCGCTATTGTTACACATAAGTCTTCAAATGCTCATGTTTGAACCAGTCAAAATATATTCATCACTAATGGATATGACAAACGTAGAGGAGACTTGCGTGGTGTGTAAAAAACAGTGGATGCGGAATCAACCGCTGTGTTTGACAAAGGACAATAATAACTTCGCTTATTCAGCTTACACCGCCGATGCTTTTTAGCCTCGTAAGCAGATTTCAACGCAATACTTTTTTGCTGTTAATCTGCACAATTATTCCACCATCAAAACACGTTCCTGGCCAACGCAGCTGACCCGTTCAGCTTTGAAACTGTCAATCATCTGTAGATACTCACTGGCTTATTCACTGGAACCTATCAGGCTAACATAAAATTCGAACCAATGTGAAAATATGCATGTTTCAGACTTCAACAATCAGGTCGAGTGTTAAAATTTCACTTTCAACAGATTACACCCAGCTTTTTCGTATTTCTGGTTATGAAAAACGAAATACTCTTCCAGCTCAGTTTTAATTTGGAGTCAAGATCGGAGAGGAGACTGCGGTGGAAAGCCACACAGCAAGGACTCCATAAACTGTGAGCATCTTTTGGCTACACGCACCACATTACTCCACCGGCAATGCTGTCGGTTTGTCTATGAAATTTTGTGAATGTTATGGTAAGAGCTAAATTAAAATCCACGCGCCTTGTCTCGTGATCAAGGCAACACAGCTCATAACCGCAGAGACATGAACTGCCAACTGCACACGTGGTTGCAAGTATGTACAGCGGGCATCGAAAGAGGCGCTGAAATGGTTGATCATTTCAGTTTTCAGGACGTGTTGCAACTACGCGTCTGAGAAATTTCATCTGAAAACGTACCGAAATTGATTCAAGTCACTCGCTTTGTGCGCTTCTCACGCCGTACAAAAGGAATTTACTTAAAATACTCCTTTTCACGACTTATGAAAGGACGTCACCAAAAAGTGGTTCCAAAACTTGCGGGAACCTCTTGCTTATCTACACCATTATGATTCCAATTTATCTTTTCTCCTTGTAGGATATACATTGAATATCCAAAATGAGCTTGTGCTTAACATACTTCACAATGACTCCAACTTTACACCAGAACGTTTTTGCGACACTCAATGTAAATCAAGAGGTTTGTTGCAACATTTCACAATTCTATTATGAGATTTTCAATTGGGAACTTACTTTGAGTTGTTAGATTGAAGAGTCTTGAAATTTTACTTCGCTGAATTTTAATGTATTGGCGTGATATGACAAAAAATATAAGCAATTTTTAGGGGGAAATCGATGATGATGAATAATTAAATTTGTAGAAATTATTTGGAGCGAGTATCATCAAACTTTAATCAGATTGCCTGTTCTAAATACTACACAAAGAGAAACTGCGTTCTTCGTCTGATACATTTAAAAGTTTAGTCAGGAGACTTTAACTAACACAAATAGTAAGAGATACTGGGTGATTTCACGATAATAGGAATAGTCGTGTCGCCGTGGGTTTTGAACGACATAGGGCAAAACGATTGAAAACCAAATTAATTAATCAATAGGAATGATATCCCTGAACCTATCCATGCTAAAAAACATGATGAATTATTATTATATTTAATAATATGAGACTTAAAAGGCCGAAAATGTCCGGTCGGTTACGCGTCGCCAACCCCGATTTTGAAGCAAAAGAGCAATTTGCGGTAACAAATCAGTACTGATCATGAACTCTATGGCAATATTTGCTGAAAAGAGACTCTAGTGTTCAAGAAAATTGCCAGTTTGAACTGAAATGTTTATTATTGAGTGAGAAAAGTCGTAAGAAAGAGGTGTCGCCACATTTGGCAACAAATTTTTGCAGTTGTATAAAGTGCAGTGTTTATCTCGCCAGATGGAGTCAGGAGTTTCAAAAGTGCCATCAAATTGTTTGCTGAAGTCTTCCTGACAATAACTATTACTAATAAGTCAGTTTTTTTTACAATGAAAACTTTAATTATTATGAAAACCAGTGATTTTTACGTGTGTAGCACTAATTCCTCACTACGCAAAAACCTCAATTTAATAGTATTAAACTAAAAGGAAGTCTCCAAAGTTTAGAAAACTTTTAAGGCAGCATTAATTCCACCTCATAACTCAAGAATTGCCAAGTTTCATCTGTTGTATCATCTTTAATCTCACATTTTTGAGTGTCGGTTACGCTGTGTCTGTTACGTAACCGACACAATTTGGCAGGGCCGCCATGTTTGCGTGGACCTCCAGCAGTCCCGCGGGAAGCGCTGATACCTGATTCAATGGCTTGTTTATTAATCACTTTAACTTTGCATTGAATCAAAATAGAGCGTGCCAAAGCTGGAAAAAGGAAGTTTAATACCTTTAAAATGAGGTAATGAAATCCTGTTAAAATTGGTGCACTTTTATTTCTAAGGTATTTCACATTTTAACTATTCCTGTTATCGTGAAATCACCCTACTAATTTCACTGAATCAATCGACATTATTGAAAGATGTGAGACCATTGCGTTCAACATTATAAATAAACACTTAAAGGAAACGACAAAAAAAATATACTTTTACATCAATTTCAAGCTCATGATTGAACTAACCCACATTAAAAATTTAAAATCACACAACGAGAGACTAAAGACTGTCTTGCCGAGCAAGGACACAGTTGTGAATCCTCAGACGTTGCATAATCTCATTTGATAAAATATGAATTTTCAAGGAAACTTATGAATATTTTTTCTCCAGCTTTACCGATGATTTGGTTCGCAATCCAATAGATATGTACGTGAAAATTCCAAGGACCCATTCATAACTTTTCTCAAAGATGAACATTTTATCGGGGGAAATTCAGGGACACTCGAATGTTCATACAGCGTTTTCCCTCAGCGCGGCTTTTAAGGAGGCAAGCCTATACGACATGGTCTCCCATATGTTTTGGGTGGTATGCTAAAACGACAGTATTTAAAATGCAAATTTAAAGATCTTTTTTTATCCCTACTTTTGTTAACGAAATTCTATTTACTTGATTTCCCCCTCTGCCCGTTTGATATTGATTCGATGATGCACGCGGCATTGAATCAACTGGAAAGAAGTCAACTTGTAGTTGAGGGATTTGGAGGGATAGAGTCCCTTATAGCGGCTGTCAGACCAACTCACAAATCAAGATAAAATCCGAGATACTACTCTCGGAGACGGAGCATTTCTCGGTCATCTGACACCGGCGGGAACGGTGAGTGATTTAGAACAAACGCGGCAATCACGATAAATCCCAGAAAAGCCCGTGAAAAATGTCGATTGTCGTTTTTTAACCCCCTCCTCCTCCTCCCGCCCTCCTCCCTCCCGCTGCTTCAAACTCATCTGAGAGCCTTTGGTTTGACGCTGATTACCCTTTTGAACAAAAACACGGATTCGTGCTGAACTGAATCTTTTTTCCTCTGAGTCTTGATATGATGCTAAGAAATATATTAGAAATATATATATAATATATTTTAGAAATTCTCGCGTAAAAATAACCCTTTGAACCCTGAGCTATATTTTCATGCTCCCCCGGCCTTAGTTAGGAATGGGAAATCATGCATATTTGGACCGCGTTAAACAGAAAGGAACCAAGCCACATCAGCTATTGCCAAATTTAATAGGGCAATCTAATTTTTTACATGAAAACGGTTGTGCGGATTTTCGTGCAAATTTCAGTGAAAATTCGCCATGGTACGAAGCAAATTCCTGAAAATTTTCAAAGAAATCCGAACGAACGTTCTCTCGTAAAAAAAATTAATTGCCCTGTTAAACTTGGCAATAGCTGATGTGGCTTGGTTCCTTTCTGTTAAACTCGGTCCATTTAGTTTTCTTGCCTTCATTCGCTTATCTCTCAACCAAACAACTTGAATTTTGTGTTCCTTACCCCTCAGTATGTAAAAGTGAAGACCAGTCGCCATAAGTTAATTCTCAGCACCCATATACCAATACGTCCAACGTCCATATTTTTAACAACATGGCCAATTTTAATCAAACAGAACTATGTGCATTATGACGTGAGCCCTGCTGTTATGCGTGCATTCTTATGAGTCTCAGGTAATGCATATAGTTCCGTTTGATGGAAATACGACCATATGATCTCACCATTTTATCTATACATGGTCGTTTTTTAGCAGAGAGGCCATTCCGTCATCTCCCATCGGAAGAACATATCTCGATGCGTTGTTCACTTTTTTCCATCACATAGGATCGCCCCATATTCCCTCCGTCTTTATGTCGATCACTTTGTCTTTCAATTTCAATAATCAGTCTGCAGGGCTCACTTGGGAATTGAGATACGCCTTTACGCCGGATCGACAATTTGAAGCACACGTTCCATTATACATATTTGCAACAAATAAAGTCATCGCAACGATCGTGACATATGTAAAATGAAGAAGCGCATATAGAATTTGCAAATAAAACTTAGTGTAATTCAAAGCATGAAATTGCGGGAAACATTTCTGAAAAACGCATAACCCTGTCCACCTGGCGATGACCCTATAGATCGTACTCGATACATTGTGGATACATCGATACATCGATAGATTGTGTCGATATCGATTGGTTCAAAACGTAAACATAGCCTCAAAAGTAAATTCAGAAATCTGAGAGAGCGGGTCTTTTGTAACAGATTTTTTATTCTATTGAGTACTAAATGCCAATGCAAAGTGAAATTGTCAGGAAATATCTCTTTTTAAGCTTTTCCAACTTAAATCCTTTCTGTTTGGTTCGGGGTTATGTTCTATTGTTTTGAACCAAACGATACATCGAACCGTTATCGAATACGGTCTATTCGTGTTTTCGGTACCAATACGGAACCTCACCATCCTTGGCAAAAGTGGTTTCGCAATTTCCACCCAGTTCTTCCCTCCAATTGGGGGTGCGGGAACGGCGAGGTGGCTGATAACGTTGTGGGGCGGGCTCGGAAGGCATGGATGACCGTGCTCCGGTCGTCGGCAGGATCGGCAGGGGTGGCTTCCATGTGCCTGACGTGGCTCTCCAGGGTGGCGCGGCTTTTGTGGGTGGCATGGCTCTCCAGGTTGGCATGGCTGTTGAGGGTGCCTGAACGCGATCAGGGAACTGGGGTTCTAGGGTTGAGGACGGAAGTGATCGCGAAGGCGGAGGTGGTTTGGATCCAGAGCGTGGCGATGGCGAAGGTGACTTTGGTCTCGGGGGTGTCTTGGCCCTCGGGGGTGTCGGGGTGGGATCAGGCGATGGGGGCTCCAGGGGGTAGGGTGGGAACCTTGGTGGCTGCGGCGATACTCTCGATTCAGAGCGTGGTGATGCTGTTGGAGTGGACGACGTGGGCGTCGATGACGAGGAAGGGGACGACTGCGATCGCGGTGGAGAGTCCGGTCCATCGGGTTTGGCGCGGGGTGAATGTAGGGGCAACACTGGCGGGAAATCAGTCGACGTCGTCTTCAGGATAGCGATCTCTGGTGGAGTGTGGGCCTTGAAAGAGGCCTCCGGTGAGGACATTGGCGACCGACGGGCGGGTGATGGTGTGGGCGACCGACGAGCGGGTGATGGGAGTCGTAAGGGTGATGGTTCGAGGGAGGACTGTAGCGGTTTGAGGGATGGAGATGCGGGGGGCTCCGGTCGCACGGTTAATAATGTCTCATCTTCGGAAAAAATGTGCGGATCGAAAGATTTTTGAGAAGCCTGACTTTGATCATCGCCGATGGTTTTTCTGCTTTTCCTGCCGAGTGATAATAGCCGATTGAGTCCTGAGAGCCTTCCACTAATTTTGATGCTGGTACAAAAAGAACAGGTTAATACTATACCTGCTGAAACATATATAACAAGGTGGAGAAATGGTGCTGGGTCCACACCATTAACATATATCGATGGCCAAAGTTTAGTACCACGATTCGTAAAAATGCTCACTTTTCACCGGAGACATGGACCAGACTGAGTCCAAAATCGGTTATAGCATTCATCAAAGAAGTAGACAATGGGTCTGTTGTAAATTTCAGCTATACACTGAAAAAAATGATATGCTATTTCAGCGCCTAGGCTGTCAAAAATATGTCTAGTGGTCCTAAGATGCTACCTTGATTGCCCACGCAGTTGAATTTGCATTCATAGAATGTAAAGTTAACTGCCATGGCAGTCAAGGCAGCATCTTGGGATTACCAGACTTTTTGACATCCTAGGTGCTAAAACAGCATATTATTTTTTTTCAGTGTACAGCCACAAAAGAAGAGTATTTACTTTTGAAAGATGGCTCAAAAATCACGGTAAGCTCATCGGGAAAGTCTGAAATATATTACCTCAACAATATCTTACAATTCTTTAGATTTCTTACAAACTTCACATTTTGCCTCAGAAATATGCGTTCTTTTACCTAAGCTTCCTGTTTCAAATATGATACAACAACACAGGTGAAAATTTCGTAAGAGGAATAATTCCATCCAACCCTTGCGCATTAGTATGCTACAGATGCTACACAATATCAAACAAGGCATGACGCCTCCGCGCGCAAACCGTGAGGGAGCACCATGCTCTTTAATTATCAACGCAAGAAAAGTGTAAATATAACCACGGCGGTTTGTAAAATCCTGTCTCGTCACGTGTGTTTTTGCAAGTTTGCGTCGACCATCTATACTATAAGCTCCAAGACCTCCTAATTTTGCGAAACTGGTAACGCTTAGTTCCAGCGTTCTACCGGGCCGATTTTCATGATTTTTGCGGCTATCGACGGGCAATTGTCTCTAGATAAGCCAACTCTTTTCAGATTTTCAAAATATGGCCCAGGTTTTTTTATATTACGTGGTAAAGTTGCGAATTCTCCCATTTAAACAATGTAAATTTATACTTTTTGTCATAGTTCGTTTGAGCGTTCTACCGGGCCGATTTCCATGATTTTTGCGTTAATCGACAGGTAATAGGCCCCAGATGAGCCCGCTGTTATCAGATTTTGGAAAAAAGACCCAGGTTTTTTTAAAATCACGTTATAAAAGTGAGTGAGTTTACAGAATGCTCCGGTACTGCTACCGCTATGCGCGGGAGGATGCGCAGTGGTCGAGGAGGTTGCGCAGTAGGTGTGTAGCCTGCGCATCAGCTCTACACTTATCTACCCAAGATTCGCACCATTAGTCTCACGTCGAGCGGTGGCTGAGTCGTCTAAGACGTCGAATGCGTCCACTTGGAGCTCGGTGTGGGTTCGATCCCCGATTCTTAAAATCTTAGTTATTACCTGACTATCATTGTTCATAGTTTTACTGCAATATTTCATCAAGCAGTCATTCCAAAACGCGTCCTTTTAATTTTAAAGTAATTTTAAGTAAAGTTTAAAATTAAAGTATACCTCATATCGTAATTTTTTAGGGGAAAAATAAAACTAACACTGATACGATAGTTATAATAGGGCCGCGAAGCGGCCCTTTGATGGCGCGGAGCGCCTTCAGGGGGTTGGGCCGCGTAGCGGCCAGGGGGCGTAGCCCCCTAGTGTTGAATATTGCGTAGCGTCCCGGTGCGCACGGGTTGGATGGAACGACCCCTCCTACAAAATATTCACCTGTGCCATATAATCGTTTTTGAGTATGATATCATTATCAAGTTAGGAGTATATTTCAGGACTTTCCTGGTGCGCTCATCGTGATTTTTGAGCCATTTTCTACAAAAAATAACTCTTCTTTTTGCTCTAGCTAAAGTTTTCTACAAGTACATACAATCTTCAGTTATTATATTATTGTCTTGAACACTGCCGTCAAATTGAAAAGACTGGATGTAGAGGTGAACTCTCACTATATCTTTGGCGAGTCCCTCGATAACGGCTGTAATATAGAGATATTCTTTTTAAAACTTAGGACTTCGTTTCAAAGAAAACCAGTGGCTTTAGCCTGTTCCCTGTAAACTTTTACACCATTTTTAGTGCTCACATTGCAAACTTGGTGGCATGCTAGAGTTTTATTCTGCATGTAAGTAGAGTCATGAGTCCGTTTTGGTCCAATTTTTTTCTGGTTGTTTTCTAATTCAGCTGTAATACAAGACCAATAAGTTTTTAAAAATCTGCTCATTATTGAATGAACTATACTATGTTCTGTAACGCACGGAGTGATGCAATCTTTCTGTGTGTTCAAAATTTTGAGTAGGTCTTTTTCAAAACAACATTTTTTGGGCTTAAGTGACACTTTTTCAGGTTCTACCGGATGGATTTTTAAAACCTTTATTTTTTCCCCCTAACATTTTTCGCTGACTACAAACGAGAGGGTTTTCCTTAATTATCCTTAAAGCAATGAAAATAATGGATCGCGTTAAGCAGTAAGGAACCAAGCCACATCAGCGATTGCCAAATTTAATTGGGCAATTTATTTTTTCACATGAGAATGGTTGTGTGGATTTTTGTGCAAATTTTGGTGAATTTTCTGCATAGCGTGAAGCAAATTCCTTAAAATTTCCAAAGAAAATCGTACAAACGTTCTCTTGTAAAAAATTAAATTACCCAGTTAAATTTGGCAATAGCTGTTGTGGCTTGGTTCTATTCTGTTAAACGCGGTCCAAATATGAGTCTGAATGCCTTATTTGCTCATTTTCTCTTTCAGTCCTATCAAAACTTGTGATAGTTTCAATTTTCAGAAATTTTAAAAATCCTCGAGTCTGAAGCCACAAAAAAGTGAATCAAACAAAAGTGTTTTTGCAAATCCGTCCAGTAGAACCCGAGTAAATTACACGTTAGCAAGGCGAGGACGCCAAGGTGAAGTTCTAGCCTCATGACTTCTCATAAGCCGTGAAGGATGACCGGGAAAGAGAAGCAATACAAATTGCACATTTTGTTTTGTTCGTTATATTCTACGCACTATACGATAGTGGAAAGCTTGTTTCTTACCTGCTACTTTTGACAGCACCACCAAATTTACTTGCTTTCGACTGCTGTGAACTGTTGCTACGAAAACTCGCTCCATTTTTTCGGCTTAGGCTCTTCCACGATTTCATTAATATCCCAGTCATTTTCCGCTTTAGACCCTAATACCATGACAATTTATTTTTTATTTAACTAAAAATGATCCCAGTTTAGCATAAATTGTTAAAGAACTTGGCGGGGGAGGGGGGGGAGAACAAAAAACTGGAAAAAAGTGTTGAAATAATTTGAGTTAGGAGTCCAAAACCTCTATTCGTTTCAGACACAACTTACCACAAGGAAGTCAATCGTAAACCATAACTCGAACATTTTAGTCATCACAGATTTTTTTCAATTGAGTATCGTCCGATCCCCTCGCTCCAAATTTATCTATTGTGTTTTTCTTATTATGTTTATTCTGTTTATTATCTCCTACCATGTTTTTTCTCTGTTCATCACTAAATCTTTCCACATTTGTTTACTGAGTCACCGGCTATTTTTCCATATGTATCTTTAGTTTTTGGTATTATTCTCTATAATTTTATTATATTTTAAAATGCATTGTGACATTTTTGTTATATACGGTGATACGCTTTTTTTCAAACTTTTTCTGCTAAAGATGAGTGGTTGCACGAAATGCATACAACACTTAACCGAATAAACTGTGTATTTGCGTGTCATGGTACAGTTGACTTAAAATATGTGGAAGGTATACAGCACCATTTCATTCTTTCTCCAGCAACTCCTCGTGTCATCAATCCCCGTTATGATAAAAGGAGTGACGCGTATAGCGCAACGCTATTATTCATAGAGTATTTCCATCTCCCTTAGTCCCATGTTTTCGGTCTCGCCCTATGATTCTTAAATTTCGGGTCACGAGTAAGCTTCACTCTTACCCGGTGGCGTGATCAGTCGCATCATTATCTATATGTTTTTTTAAATTTCCACGGCAATCAGGAGGATGAGGTGATGAACCTTTTTTGCGTGGGCGCGGTCTCTCAACTAGAAGAGACTTTTCTTTGGTTTTTAGACTTCCATCCTGCAGCTCGATCGTTGAAATTTTGTGTCTGTCGGGTAGAGAATAATGACATAGCCTTAAAAGGCGGAGCGTGATTGGTCGGCTATGTCTTATCGCTGCTTTGTCGTGCCTATGTCGGGTGAAACTCACGACAAGCTATAGACACCTTTTCAGTTTTCGGAAGTATACCTATGTCGTCCATTTCACCTGACAAAGGCACGATAAAGCAGCGATAAGACATAGCCGACCGACCATGCTCTGCCTTTTAACCTATGTCATCTATTTCGCCCTGACAAACACAAAATTTCAACGATCAGGCTGCAGCACTACCGGCTTTTTTGTTCACCCGAAGGAATTGTGTATTTCACCTTTTAACGATTCTAAGTGTTTTAATAAAATCAAGGCAAGGCGAGTCAATAGTTGTTCTCGATGAAATCCTGCTCTCCCACTTTAAAAAAGCTATTTCTATTCCATACGATATGACGCCAAGACGACCGCGTGGCATGGGATCAAAACCCGCGTCGTCAACCCATCTAACGTCACAAAGAGTTTTTACAGGTATTTCTTTTCGTAATATGGGCTTTTAAGCGTGCCAGTAGGGCTCGCTTTTTGAAATCACTCGGATGTACCATAGTACAACACACAGATCAACCAATGCTATTCAACGGGTCGTCCAAATACTTTTTTCCTCGCACCCGTTTCTTTGTCTTTGAACCATTACACTGTCAAGCCCTGATGGTCTTTTACCAAAAAATCTAATGAACTGCTAATTGGAAACCCTTGAGAACATTTTTCTGTCAAAACCGTATTATTCAATTTGACAGAAACCTCATAGGAGCTTTCTTACGCTCGGAGGACTCAACTCTAGAACCTTCTTTCCCGCCAAAACTCTATAGCCAATGAGCGTCTTGCACTGTAAGTGCAATCTGTGATGAGCCTCGTGACTCATTATACTATGTACTAACCATGGCCCCTGCCGAAATCCACTTAAACCACTACAGTTATCTCGCGATATAGCTTTGGGTGTCCGGTTTCGAGCAAGGCAATAAAAGACGGCGAGGCGATTAACCGATTAACCATTCACCGTGATGCCAGGATCCACCAAATTTTCTCAAAAATTGTTTTCCGTCTATTTAGCGAGTTTTTCTTTACTTTCCGTTGAAGTACAAATAAAAAGAGACCTCATTTGTACAAATCGGCCGAATAGGAGAGAAGTTACAGTTCGAAATCCAAAGAGATTAACTGAACGCGATTTCGATGCACGGCAGTTCGCCCAAATCACGGTCGTGCGCAAATGCCGCATATCAGCTTAAAATCAAGATAATTGGACGGAATCTTTAAAATTAATTTACATTCAACGTTCATGAATCAATATTTTCTCCCAAATTTAGCAAAAAGTACCAATTGATGCAAAAAGCAAAGACGTGAAAATAAGAGGTATTTGTCCAACATTTCAGTTATTCCGCACGCTTTTCCAACATACTCATGTTGGATTTTTTCTTCCTGTTTATTATTGAAACGAGTCTAATAAAATTCGGACCTTATCTTGGCCTTCTGATTGTGTTGTCGACGGTCGGTTGTTTTGTTCGTACATAAGCTTGCTCGGTTGGATTGGCTGACTCTGCTTGGCTGCTTTTAGAGGTACACAATCAGCAATAGTACTGCAAATAATAAAGACGAAACAGTTTGTGAAGTTGATACTCAAAAATCGAATTAACAAGTCGGTTTTGATACCTAGGTAAGCTTTTTTGAGTCCTTATGAGAACTTACTTTATTTTTTTTTTTGTTTGTTTTCTTTTCCTCGTACTTGAATGCTGAAAATACGCTGAAAATCTTGGAAATCGTGTTTTAAGTTTTTAAAAAATGTGCTAAAGCTTCAAAGGACTCTTCCAAAACTTTTCAAACTTTTCGCAAATAAACTTCATGATACATACCTACTGGGTTCGTAGCACTCCGGCTACTGTATGTTTACAGTGGTGGCTATGGTAGCATTGAATGGCCCCACTACAACCATCAGCCATAATGCACCAGCCATAAGTTTGAACATTCAGGGCATCATCATCAATGAGCAGGCAAAAATCATAAAATTCTTCAATAAATTGCGAGTAAAAATGTGATTTTCTCTTTTATGCTACCATATATCTTATGTTCCTTGACATCCAAAATTTAATTTTCTGTTTTCTATTACTTCCAAAATTATTGCACGCATTTTGTGACGCCCTCACTTTAAATGCATTACAGTCATTAGATGCTGTTCAGCCTGATATACCTTACGCACTACTATACTATCGCCATTTTATATATATATATATATATATATTCATTTATTCGTGCAATAGTTGATAAAATCTTATGTTGCAAGTTTAATTAAGCTGATTTATGAAAATTTAAAACCTCTCTTTAACATCCGTGAAACTCTTTCTCAGCTTGTCTTGGATATTGCGCATCCTAGTTTGCAAAATAGGCACTTTCTGAACACTCGCTGCAGAATCTTCATTTCCGGCTGCAGACAAGGGACCCTCCCTTCTAATTGAGGATGGAATATCGATTCCGGTAGCCCATCCATTCCCAGTAATCCCATTTTCTTCTCCACTCTGTAATAGGGAGAAAAGTTTAATTCTTTAAACATCAGGGAGATCCTTTTTTAAATGGGTTAATTGTGCAAAATGCCGCGCAAAAACTGCGTGGTTAATGAAAGCAGATATTTTTCGTACTGATTAACGCTTGAAAGCTTTATTATGAGTATTTTTTGTTGTGAATTTACCATCTTAACGCAAGATGCCAAAAAGCTTCAGGGTTACTTCGGTGGTATTGCATCTCTCTATGTGTACGATGGCTGGTCAGAAATTCTTATACCGGCTTTTCCCCTTCTCTTCAAAATTAAAGAAAATAATACATTGTAAAGCGTTTCCAATTATTCGTGTGAATTTTTCTCTTTCACAACCTTGAAATTCACAAAGTACATACTTTCACAAGTGCGCACATTCACAAAGTACAATGACTCACTAAGGGTTTTTTTAGAAAATTTTAGCCGAGCGCTAAATAGTGGCTGGAAGTACAGATAAGAAAAATTCTAAGTTCATTAAATTTGGAAGAATAACGGACAGCTCAGGATATATATACTTTTTTGCGTTATCATTTTTGCTGTTCTTGTTACCTTTCATTGTGTAGGAGACATACGCTAAAAAGATGCTGCAAATAGTATGAGGACACTTTTTTTTAAAAAAAAAAAAAAAAAAACGAACAAAAGCATTACCGAGTTCGTTGAAAAGCACGAAGCCGAAAAATGAACTTAAGTTCAAATTTTTTGTTTCCTTTTTTTTTGAGGTGGAGGGGGTGATAATAATACAATTTTTTCCTAGTTTCGCTTTTTTTGTGCGCATATTCACAAAGTACAATGACGTTGACGGTTTTTTCATGACGGTTGACGATTTCGTGACGTCATGACGGGTATTTCAGAACGTTGTAGCTGCGCGCTAAGTGGTGGCTATACAGATGAGAAAAATTCTAACGAGGGAAATGATGATGGGCTCCACTTTTTACAAAATTGTTGTTGAAATTACTTGAAATACAAAAAAATTGTTTACGACTTGTATATGATCCGTCCCGATTTTTTTCTTTTACCACGTGGTTTAAAATTGACGTTGGATGAATTTTTAAACACTAATACTCATTCAAGATCGTAAGATAATGTTACTTTGAAGAAAAAAATTCAATCAATTTAATTGAGCTGTTGCACAGGTTTTTTTTAAAAAAAAAATCATTTTAAAGACTACCTAAGTAATGAGAAAGCGTTCATTTTCTTGCTTTTCATGCAGTCGATTTTAGCTTATAAAAAAAACTCCCGAAGTCGTCAAAAATCCAACCCCGATTCAAAAGGAAAAATTTAGCGTCAACAGATATTGTGATATCGCAAGAGAGAGATTTCAAGGGAGTAAATGGGAGGGATGCTTTGTTTACCTTAGGGTAAAACAAAATCTAAGAAACATAATGAACGACGATGTAAGTTTCAAGTATTTAAGAATTATGCACCCTTAAGATTTGCT